CTTAATGATATATTCGTAGAGCTTCGTTATTATTTTAAAATCAGATCTTTTCAGATTTATGGAGGTGCATATATGTGGGTTTCATAAGTACATTAATTGTGTATATATGTTATTTGTTTATCGTACACAATATAAGATGCTATGTTTGTTTAAATAAGTTAATGACAGTCAATCTATTTCTAAATTCTCAAAAAAGTACACTCATTTAGTTCAATAAATATATATTAAGCCCCGTAAGCAAAGCCGACTTTACGATACTCTTCACCACTTTGGATACATACAAGAAAAAATCGGAATCTTACAAAATTAATTAATTGATCTACATAGATATTTGAACCAATTTGAATTAAACCATAAACATAGCATTCTGGAATCTATGATAAATTGCATGTGAACTGGGCAGACTTGGTTTCTTTGGCAAAGAATGCTGCAGCACAGTGCGCTATCGATCACTGTACAATTTTTATGAACTAAGGCGAAGATATACAAGGGTTATGTCTACATCTGAACATATTTTACAGAATCCAATACACTTTATTTTGAACCGATTTGAAAATTTCTTGTATATGGAAGAAAGAAAAAACAATCTTCGGTTTATTATTCACATAAATTCGGACGAAAAAAATATGTATGGGAGTTAAATCTCAACCGACTTTAACACACCTTAACGCAAATAAATCAAAACTCATTTCAATACATTCTGCCAAATTGCATGTAAATGGAAAGAAATATAAAGGTATTGGTGCTAACTTTACATAAAATCGAACTAACATATATATGGGAGCTATATCCAAATTGTAAGGATTTTACCACTACCGATGATGTGTGGAAGGCCATTTTAGAGGAACTTAACTGCTATGGTCCAGCAACACGCACTCAAAATGAATGGCAGAGATTGGCGAACATTTTCTTTTAGACCCTTGATATGTACGTGTGTGCCATCTATACATCCGACAACAACCGGGAACTTTGTTTTCGAATAAAAAATATTTATTCTTTCCTTTTTCCTCCTCTGTTAATTTGGAAACAATAAAAATTTTACAAAGTTTTTCCTCTATTAGCCGGACAAAACCACCGAGTCATTGCCATGGGACTTTTGAAAACTTCCTTTCGCAAAAAACCTCAAAGCTGCACAAACTTTTAAGAGAGGAGGAATTGCTGTTGACCGCCGGACTTTTTAGAAACCTGGGTTTAATGCTTCAACTAAGCCTTGAAGCTAAAATGAGCAGTTCATTGAACATTTCTCTAAACTATACACTTTAACACGGTGAAAATGTGCCTCATCGAAATATTGGTTCAAGACCCCATGTTTCTTTGGACCAAATCTGTTGCAAAAAAATTAGATTTTATTCAAACTTTGCCCATCTTATTATTTCTTCCAAACTTAGTTCAAATTCGAAGATGGGAAATATCGGTCCACTTCTTCTGGTACCTCCACACAGGGGCTAGGTCTAAATGCGGCTATAGTTCATTATCGAACCTTAAGTTCTAATTTTTTATCTCGCTGTCCTCCGCAGGTGAAATGATTACAACAGAGTCTTAGAACCAAACTCAAAACGCGTAACAAATCAGACACAATTTTGGACTACCCCAAAAAAGGGGGCGAATATTAATAATTTTTGGTAGGGAGATTTGTTACCATATATGACTACAAAATACCAAATTGCAGCAAATTCGATTGATAAACGCGTTCAAGAACCCTAAAATACCGAAAATTGGGGGTATCCTTATATGGGGGCTATCCGAAAAAATGGATCTATATTCATAATTTTTTGTGGGGAGATTTGGTATCTATTAAGAACTCAAAATACTAAATTACAGCTAATTCGGCGGAAAAATACGATCAAAACCCCCAAAATACAGAAAATTAGGAGGTACCGTTATATGGGGACTACCAGAAAAAGTGGACCTATATTCGTATTTTTTGTGGAGAAATTTAGTACCCAATAGGAACGAATTCGGTTGAAAAATGCGCTCAAGAACCCCAAAATACCGAAAATTGAGGGGTACCGTTATATGTGGGGTACCAGAAAAAATTGACTTATATTTATAATTTTTAGTAGGTTTATTTGGTACCCAATAAGAACTCAAAGTACCAAATTTCAGGGAATTCTGTTGAAAAACACGCTCAAGAACCTCAAAATACCGAAATTTGGGGGGTACCCTTACATGGGGGCTGTCCGAAAAAATGGACTTATATTTATAATTTTGAGTGGGGATATTTGCTACCCAAGTACCAAATTTCAGCGAATTCGGTTGAAAAACACGCTAAAGAACTTAAAAATACCGAAAATTGGGGGGAACCCTTATATGGGAGCTATGCCTAAACGTGAACCGATATAGCTCATCTTCGAACTTGACCTGCCTGCAGACAAAAGACTCTATGCAAAATTTTGGGGCTCTATCTCAATTCGTTTAGACGCTAGAGTGATTACAATAGACAGACGGACATGCATAAATCGTCTTAGAATTTTACGCTGATCAAGAATATATATACTTTATAGGGTCGGAAATGAGTATTTCGATGCGTTACAAACGGAAAAACAAAACTAATATACCCTCCATGCTATGGTGGAGGGTATAAAAACATATTATGAAAAGTGGAAGGCTCGAAAATCGAGATAAACCTATGGTTCTTCCACGAAAGTTGCTTAGAATTTTCCATAGAATCATCCTGGATTTAATCGAAATTTTCGGCTCCGTACAAATTGGCCCGCCCATATATAGGGGAGAGGGGGCAACTTTTGAACGGGGCACCTTTGAACGGCGCTCATAAAATCTTGGTTTAAATTTTTTCCGACCCGCTACCACATTTTTGTATATGGCAATCTTGTTCTTTATCTGCGTAAACCACTTTGGCTAGCTTTTTCAGTTGTCGACAAATTGTACATAGGTGACCGTGTTTTCGCTGTGTAGTTGTAAACGTTTATTTTTTGGTTGTAAGGGCGCAGGTACAATTCTGTGAAAGTTTTCTTTCGTTAAACACATTTTTTGCATTCCAATAATTATTTCAAACATAACTAGTGTAGTTTCCTTCATATTTATTTATTATAAAAAAAGTTATTATACATTTCCCTAAAATGCCACGGGTGGGGCACCTTTGAACATGCCCATGTTGGCTTCGATTTCTCAAAATTTCAAATGGAATAATAAGACTACGAAATTAACTGTATTTTTCACCATATTATTTTTGTTTTTATGTCATTTTATGTTTTAATAAATTTTGATCTGAATTTTTTAATTTTCGAAAATGTTTGTATATATGTTTTAATAAATAAATGCATTGGTGATATGTTTGAATAAAATACATTTATATATTAACATAAACACTGTAAAAAACCAAGCCGTTCAAAAATGTCAAGCTTTGTTCAAGGTGCCCCCCTAGGGGCAGTTTTCAACACTTTGACTTCATCCCTTAAAACAGCAATAAAATATTTATAACAAGCTTGAAGTATGTCATATGTATATTCATTGTAAAGGTTACATATGTACCTATTAGTTAAAATTTATGAAATAAAAAATTTTATGAGGCTTGAAAGAAAAAAGTGTTCAAAGGTGCCCCCTCTCCCCTTTATATATATATATATAGGTTCGGAAATTAATATTTCTATGAGTAATAAACAGAATTACAAACACGAATGCTCGTACTATCATACAGTTCATTTTGAAAAGTCGCACACATAAATTCTGCTCATCGGTTGGTATACCTAATATGGTGGATCTAGACCAGGAACGCTCGCAAAAGCAATATGTTACAGTACACTACTCTCCGAAGGAATTGAGATAGGGTGCTAACATTTTGCATTGGGTTGTCAGATTAAGTTCGAAGATGGGCTATATCGAACCATGTTTAAGCATGTGCAATTTTCAGAGTGCGTTTTTCAACCGTTGTAATTCGTTACTTTGGGTTCTTATTGGACATCAAATATCTCCACTAAAAGTTGTAAATATAGGCCCACTTTTTCGTTTAGTCCTCATATAACGGTATCAATTTATTGGTATTTTGGGTTTTCAGAGCATTTTTTACGGAATTCACTGTCATTTCGTAATTTAGGCTGTAATAGAATACTAAATCACGCACCAAAAATTAAAGTTTTTTGATTGGTGTTTTCAAACGAATTCGCTATAATTTGGTATTTTATATTCGTATTTGGTAACAAATCTCCCTATTTGGGGGTAGTCCCCATATAACTTTTTAATACTAACATAATTAACTGATTTGTTCCGCGTCTGGGGTTGTCCCCATATAGGCTTATTCTACCATACTGTCCGCTTTTTATCAAACAAAGTATTGCATTCTAAGACTATTTAGCAATCTGCTGTAATCATTATATCATCTACCTATCGAGATAAGAAACTAGATCGCCACGTTCGAGAATGAAATATATTGGCCCACATTTAGGACACCCGGTTTTGGATTTTTTTTAATATTTAACGTGTAGGAAGTTGTTTAGATATAAAACCAAAAGATTAGGTTCGAAATTGAGCTATATCGGTCCTTAATTAGGCATAGCTGTAATTTACTAAATTCTACACGGTGTAATAAATATTAGTATCGCTTTAGGTATATCCTCCTGGGACGTACGCATGCGAAAAGTGTTTTTCTGTAATGAACATATCATATTGAACCAGCGGCCCCTACCCCAAAATGAAATTCTGTGTATGTTGATTATAGGTCCACGTTTATGGGATTTTGAGATTTTAGGAAAAAATTGAATTAAAATCTGCTGCCATTTGTTTTTGGTATACATTATAGTTTACAAGAATCGCTTGGTACAATTGTCAGTATAAAATAAAAAGTAACTGTCAATATACCCATGGTGTATATCCAAAATTCGACACGGCCGAACTTAACGCTTTTTTCACTTGTTTTATTAAAAGCAAAATTACAATACCCTGAAATATATTTGCGCATGTTAAAAATTCTTTATACTCGTAATAGCATATCATATTGAATATTACTGCAAATTAAGATTTCATTTTTTTTTCTTTATTTTCAGGAAAATCTGTAAAAATGACAACAAATGAAACGTAAGTATTACCAGTGATAATGAATTTCTTTACGCTTAAGTCACAGTCCAAGACCACATTCTAACTAACACTCATAACATGATTGGTGAAAGATATTATAGTAACATCTCGAAATTAATATCCAATTAACAAAAAACCAACAACTACAAAACTGGTAATTTTCTATATACATAATTACATCAAGTTGTTAGAAGTTAAATGGAAGCATGTTTATCATTTTTCGTTTCGTGTAGCAAGTTTATTTGGTTAAATGATTAATAGCATGTAAATGTTGATTTAAATTATAGTTTTAACATCATTCAATAACATACATTCATATATCCTTGCATATACATGCATACATATGTTTAAGACACTTCAATACATGTAACATGATCACAAACATACACACACACAGACACAACTATTACAAAACCATTGTCATCTGCGACAAAGAAAATGAATGCATCCAGCAAATCTTCATCATCAGCTCTCATTAATCGAATGTGCTAAATAACGAAATTTAATGAATTCGTGTAACCACAATCTTCTAAAAAAATCAACAACAGCCGTCTAGTTTAACTCTCTAGAAAATAATATAGTATCCTTCAAATTTAAAATATGTTTGTCTATTTTGTATGTGCCTTGTAATAGTTTAGTTTAGATTTAGAACCAAATGACAAGAAAATCACATAATATCTGTTTATCGTCTAAAAAATTATCGAAAAAAAAGAAATCCCTACTACAAATCACCTCATGCCTTTTTGAAAACAACAAAATCTCCCCCCAAAAGCTTACATTCTAAACTGTAAAACGCAAAACTAAAGGACTCACTTTTATCACCAAAGCTCAAAACTATCAACCAATCAATCAACCCCTTCTCAAACTCGCCTAATCATTAAAAATCTCCTTTCAAACCCCATCACACCCAGACAAGCGGTGTGTTGGATAACATCACAATCACACTGTTCAAGTCTTACAACTAAAACATTTTCTGTCCCACAAACGAGGGCAAATTTGTCCTCATGTGTCCTTACAAATTGGAACCTTAGCTAAGCTAAGTATTATTTTCTATCTCTCTTTTCCATAATGCTCTCATAAAAATATATAACAACAACAACATGATGTGATGTCATTACGATTACCATACTTATTAATGATAATGATGTTGATGATGATGACGATGTTCAATTAACAACCTACTGCCACAACACCACACCGACACAAAAAAACACCACAACCGATACATCATACAACCCAACCCAATACACTACTGTGAATGCAGTGGCAACTCGCAAGGACCAGAACACCATGGCCAAAATGTAGCCTTACTTGAAACCCCCAATGGTGTTACCATCATACCAAACAATGGTGCCACACTGGCAAATGGCCACAACAACAGCAGCAACGATCACGATAACTCCGATGTACAAAGACGTCGTCCCGACCATGAAGATGATTCCTTTGAATATGCCACAGATCGTGAAAGCAGTGTTTACAATCCCACCACAATACCCTTACGTTCGGTCATGGCATCGGCTGGTGGTCGTAATTCACGTAAATCAAATGACAGTGACAAGTCGCACGAACAAAGTGATCTACTAACCAAAGGCAATCAATTGGGAATTCCAGAATCAAGATTTTCACGTTGGATACCAAAAGATCAAAGAGAAATTTTGGAGAAACAAGCCCGACTTTTGGCCAATCGCACACATGTAGTGAAAACACCCGAACCACGTCCTAGAACACCCACACCAACAAGAATTGCAATGGCAGCACCATTGCCAGCCACAGCAACAACAACGGCGGCAGCGTCGAACATAAGAGTTCCAACTGAAACGGAAATTTAAAAGAAAATATTAATCGAACGATAAACAATTTTCAACGATGATGTAGAATATTTAATTTTGAATTTAGTTTTGTTTTTATTTCTTACATGGAAAGACTGCACAAACAATTTTTTTTAATTTATTTATATAAAAAGTACATGTAAATACTAAATTAAAAAAATGAGAAACAAATACGAAATTATGAGAAATTAAAAAAAAAAAAAATTGTTCACAAATCTTCAAAAACATATAATTGCATATTCGTGAGTTCTTCTATAAATTGTCATATTAGAAGGAGGTTCAATGTTTGCAAGATCTATCAGTATTTAGGATACATATCTGTATTTTTCCCAATATACGGTGGCCTCATTTTTTGTGTTTAAAAGTTATCTTATTTATAACCTCCACCATAGTATGGAGGGTATATTAATGTCGTTTTCCCGTTTGTAACTCATCGAAATAATTATTTCCGACTCTATAAATAATAAAATTCTATGACGATTTAGCCATGTCCCTATGTCTGTTGTAAACACTCTAGACTCTAAACAAATTGAGATTGATCGCCAAATTTTTTCAAATTCGAAGATGAGCTAATCGATTCACGTTTACGCATAGCTTCCATATAAGGGTATCCCCTATTTTCCGCATTTTCGCGTTCTTGAGCGGAGTAGTTTGAGTATTTTATTTTTTCAGATTTTAGCAAAAATCCCCATTAAAAATTGCTAAAAATTGTATTTGTTGTACATAATGGTTTAGAAAAATCGGCTTGTAGAATTATCGGAATAGGTAAACTTTTTTGGTATGTTCCCTATACGTTTTCTATACCCTTCACCACACTGTGGTACAGGGTATTATGTCTTTGTGCATATGTTTGTAACAAGCAAAAGGAAACGAGATCGACCCAAGGTTCCTTTTGAAATATGCATAGAATCACTTTCTGAGTCGATTTATGCATGTCCGTCCGTCTGTTAGTGTTAAATTGTAAACAATTTGAATGAAATTTGGCAGAGTTCATTTCTTTGCCCCAAGGACGAACCCTATTGAAATTGGAATTTAAATTTAGATATAGCTCCCATATATTTTTTTGTCCGATTTAAGGTAAATGGTGCACCAAAGACAGATATACATCTGTCGATTTGCACGAAATTTAGTATAACGTACTAAATTGAGCCTAGAATGTTGTCTGCCAAGTTTCGTGAAAATCAGTCCAGATTTAGATATAGCCTCCTATATATAGTTTCGTCCGATCAAATTTAGGTCATTTGGCACAACGTACTAATGTTAATATAGCCTAACTTGTGTCAAGTTTTATTGAAACAGGTTTATATCTAAATTTAAATTTAGCTCCCAAATATATTTTCTTCCGATTTTAGGTGAATGATGCACCAAACTCTTCAAATTTTGCAAACCGTTCTAAAGTTAGTATAGCATGTGTTAAGTTAAGGTATTAAATTGAGCCTAGAATGACGCGCTTTGTAAAAATTGGTTCAGATGAAAATATTGCTCCCATATGTATTTTCGACTTAATTCATGTTAATTGTACAACAAATATTAATTGAGATTAATCTTTGAACTGCTCTCAGTGATGTAGCATAATGAATAGTTTGATTTAAATATTTTTATTCCGTTGCACAAAAACTTCTGTAAACCTGCCCCAATGCAATGGAATTTGGCATACGTTACCGTGGACATGTGTCTGGATTGATGTACCCAATATAAACTCATTGTAGCAAATTTCAGCGGATTCGGTTGAAAAACACGCTCAAGTACCTCAAAATGGCGAAAATTGAGGGATACCGTTATATGGGGGCTACCGGAAAAAGAGGGACGAAATTTATAATTTTTAGTGGATAAATTTGGTATCCAATAAGAACCCATTTTACCAAATTTAAGCGAATTCGTATGAAGAGCCCACTCGAGAACCCCAAAATATCGAAATTTAGGGGTACCCTTATGTGGAGACAATGCCTAAGCGTGGGCTGATATAGTTCATCTTTGAATTTGACCTACCTGCAGAAAGAAGACAACTCTATGCAAAATTTTGGCGATCTATCTCAATTCGTTTAGAGGCTAGCGTTATTACAAAAGACAGACTGAAATGCTTAACTCATCATAGAATTTTACGCTGATCAAGAATATATACTTTATATGATCGGAAATGATTATTTCCATGAGTTATAAACGGAAAAACGAACTCAATACATCTCCATACTATGGTGGAAGGTATAAAAATGTACAAATGTACCCGATTAAGTATGCTCACATACAGACACAGGTTACATATTTAATTTAGTCCAATTTCATTTCGGATCTATCTCTTGAATATAACCAAAATGGTAAAGGGTATCATATAGTCGGCCCCTTCCGACTTTACTACTTTCCTTACTGGTTTTATTTTATTTATGCTTTCATCTATGGCAACTAATTTCGTATTTCTTTAAGTTCATGGTTTTCTAAAGTATACACCTCTCGAAATAAATTAAACAACCATGCATACCAAATTACATCCAAATACGTATATGTGCTGGTCTTTCCTTATTAAATATTTTCAAATATATTTTTCTTAAAATATTACAAATAGCGTCCCAAAGACTGCTGATTAATTTTTTAAGTATTTGTTTAGAAACTCTCTAAAATCAATACCATATGCCTTAATAATAAATTTAAGATTTCAAATGAATGAACGAAACTAGTTATATGTAAAATACAAAATGATATATTATTTATATTTGTTGTCTTCCAAATGTAGATAGAATTATGTGCGTCTTCTTCCTCTACTACTCAATATATTTAAACGAAAAAAGTGTTTCATTCAACTGAGATTTTACTAATATAATTAAAACAGTATGGATTGGCTTTAATGCCAAACTATTGTCAAAGTGCCTTACAAAGCATGAAAAAAAACTAGATGAAGAAGAACAAGAAAAAAACACACACCCATAAATAGTATATTTAATTATATGAATGACATATCAGATAAGACCTAATTAGTTATAACTGCTAAAATGCCATTTTTTATTTTATTATTTCTATACGTTCTTCTTATTATTACAATCACATCCCATATAGTGTGTATTATTATTGTTGTTGTTATTGTAAAGTATTGTTAAGCTGTTTTTTTTCTATTTAATACAAACAAAAAAAAAACATATGACAACAACTACTGCAATACCTAGACATTAATATTTAATA